CCGTGTACCTGTTCTGTAAATACTTTCATGGTAATTGTTCTGATGAACTTTCCTCTATGATACCGATATTTTATGCATTTAAACGCAGTATGAGGTTGACAGCAAGTGTGACACTATGAGTTGGATATATGCACACATATCTGTGTGTGCATATATACACCCACATATCTGTGTGTGCGTGCGCGCGCACACATATGTGCGAGAAGATTAGTTAGATTTGATCTGGGTATCAAACTTCAAGACCCAATGACTAGATTAGGAATCTAGATAAAAACATGTTTTGAACATATGGCCAAAAGGGTAGATAAGTGTTAAGTACTTGTCAAAATACGAAGATAGTTAAAAGACCGGCTCTGGTCAAAACTTAAAAGGGTCTGAATTTAATGTCCCTGGATCGGAGTCAGCTAGGCTAGGAAATATTTTTATGTCCACTTTTCTTCAAAGGGAGAAATGGCCATGAAAAAGTTATGGGTTTATTCGTGGGTGCCCCTTCTCCGGAAATGATGACAGAGGTCTCTATATATATACGGGAATGCTTGGGTTAGTGGCAGACTTAGTTTAGGTTCGAGGAAGGGATTCAGGCCGTAGCAAGTAGCAACGAAGAGCGACACCCTAGCAGCCGGACATTGTTAGTTAGGATATATTTTTTTGGCCAGCCGAGAATCAGCCCAGAGTTAACTATCCACAAAAGGTCACACGCCCTCCCTCCTCTTTTCGTTCTACCCAAGTTTGTAGTTGTGTTTTTCTTTTGCATGTGAACCTGTCTTTCGCTCGATCCACTGCACAGAAATTCTACGACGTGAGGTCTATATCTTGTGCAACGAGTGCAGAGGTGGGTAGTCTCACACAAGTTCGCATTATTTTACAGATGAAGTGGCTAGATACAACCGTAAGTTCTATGCTGACAGTATCTTCTGTCGTACTTCTCGCTTGTGGAACTATCTTCCGGTGTCTTTCTCCCAGCCCATTTTCATCATCGAAAACTCTAAATGTAATGTCAATCGTTTTCTTCCGTATTTTAATTATTGTTCTCTTTCCCTAATAACGTTTTTTTTTCTTATATGCTGTAATAATCACTAACCCCTTGCATTGTAGTGGCTTTATTGACTTGCTTGGGCTGAAATGATTAAAAAAAAAACCTAAACAATAGTAAATATTTTAAAATACATATACAACACTAAATATTCTAACTATATAGCTTTTACCACTGATATTTATTATTTGGTCAATGTCTCGCTCAGTAAAGCCTAAGTTAGTAAAAATGGTTGTCTGCTTACAATCATTGATCTAAATAAAAATTAAACGTATTGTATTTCGCTATCAAAAATACTACTACTAGTACTATTACTACTTCTACTACTACTAATAATTCTATATTGTAATCATCTAATTCAGCAGAAATTCAATTACCTTTAGAAAAGTTTAAATGTAGACAAATGGATACAGAAGGATTGATTAGCTCCAATCTACCAAATAAGATGTTATTGCATGCCTTCTTTAAAAGTTAGCATTCGAAATCAAGTTTGTAACTAGGTCTGAACAAGGAACTATAGTAAAATATAGAACTATCTTTGAAAAAACTCTGAAAGCCAACCCCTTGAATGAATCAAAAATATTTAAACACTTACAGCTTGCCTAGCGGATTTTTATAAAATATTTGCGGAAATATGAATCCAAAATGAAACGTCTGGCCTACAAATACAGTGAGTAACGCTTATTTTATAACATAAATCGATTACATTTTCTCGTTTGTTGTGTTTGTTTTGAAAAGAAGAATTTTAATTACCGTTATTCCCCGTGTATAATGCGCCTTCATTCATAATACGCACCGCTAAAATTGTGCTGAATGTGTAAAAAAATGCTTCTACTCACGCATAATACGCATCCCTTCTTTTGGTAATCAAAGCCGATAAATTGTAGTTTTCCAATCTTGTTACGGCCAGCACTTTCCTATTGGTTTTAAACAGAGAATAATATTATTCTAATTTAGTTTTATTATAAGTCTTATTTTATTTTACATTTTTAAATATTGTTAGGTATATATTATTGTATTTGGCATCCTTATGGGGTCGCAATCGTCGAATGTTCCTGCCAAATTGTCGTATGTTTTTTTGGTGAGTAGTCATTTCGCAACTGAAATCGACCTATGAAGCAGCAACTTTTTAAAAGATTTTTTGTAGCTGTGCATAATACGCACCCCTAATTTTGCTTATTATCTTTTAGAAAAAAATGTGTATTATACATGGGGAATTACAGTAGTTATTTTTGGTGGAAAAAAGAAAGCAAAAATCCACAGATAGTTTATCTCTACAGAAGAGTAAAAGACTGAAAATACGTTAAAAATTATATTAGGGTTAGGCATAAATCAATTTGGGAAGACTATTAAGCTGTTCTCTGGACGATCTTTCAGTGTGGATGTATGTGTGGTGTAATATATTGTAATACGGAATTCTGAGCGTCGAGTTCGAATTCCAGTCGAATTGGTTACATTCATTTACGTGAAAATACCTTTGTGAATGCCATAGATCCACGTATTCTCTTCCCAGCTAATAAATAAATAGCAGTGTATACTGGGTTCTATAGCCTAGGTTAGCAACCCTTCTAGAGATGGTGACTCTATAAAATCACCCTTCTCCCTGCAAGCCCGAGTCACCGTTGAGCATGTATTAGCTCATGAATTTACACTGGGATTAAGATTCTTCAGTCGTATGAGTTGGGCTTTCTGTTGAAGAAACCGTTTATTTTGGGGGTAATTTTTCAAGCACTGTATCTAGACAACTTCTCCCTTCCTTCCAGTACACTGATTAGGTAAATATATTACTCCTTTAGTAGGGTCACCTTTTCCAAACATTTGAAGTTTTGTAATATAATTACTTTCTTTCTTTCTTTTCATTTTATTTCTAACATCCCTATCTTATTTTTGTTTGTTTGTTTGTTTGTTTGTTTCTTTCTTTCTTTCTTTCTTTCTTTCTATTTCATTCCTAACATTCCTATATCTTTCTTTCTTTCTTTCTTTCTTTCTTTCTTTCTTTCTTTCTTTCCATTTCATTCCTAACATTCCTATATGTTTCTTTCTTTTTTCTTTCTTTCTTTCCATTTCATTCTTAACATTCCTATATCTTTCTTTCTTTCTTTCTTTCTTTCCATTTCATTCCTAACATTCCTATATCTTTCTTTCTTTCTTTCTTTCTTTCTTTCTTTCTTTCTTTCTTTCTTTCTTTCTTTCTTTCTATTTCATTCCTAACATTCCTATATCTTTCTTTCTTTCTTTCTTTCTTTCCATTTCATTCCTAACATTGCTATTTCTTTCTTTCTTTCTTTCTTTCTTTCTTTCTTTCTTTCTTTCTTTCTTTCTTTCTTTCTTTCTTTCCATTCCTAACATTCCTATATCTTTCTTTCTTTCTTTCTTTTCATTCCTAACATTCCTATATCTTTCTTTCTTTCTTTCCATTTCATTCCTAACATTCCTATATCTTTCTTTCTTTCTTTCTTTCTTTCTTTCCTAACATTTCTTTCTTTCTTTCCATTTCATTCCTAACATTCCCATATCTTTTATTTCTTTCTTTCTTTCTTTCTTTTTCTTTCCATTTCATTCCTAACATTCCTATATCTTTTCTTTTCTTTCTTTCTTTCTTTCCATTTCATTCTTTCTTTTTTCTTTCTTTTCTTTTTCTTTCTTTTTCATTTTTCCTATTTCATTCCTAACATTCCTTATCTTTCTTTCTTTCTTTCTTTATCTTTCTTTCTTTCTTTCTTTCTTTCTTTTGCATGTGATCGACTGTGATAGGTGTATGCTCAGGTGGTTAGAGCGTTCGCTTTCCGATCATGAAACCAGATTTCGAATCACATACGACTTGTCAGGAAGGTAACTTCTAGTACTTATCGGCCTGAGAAAGCGGTGACAACGTATTCAAACTTTTGAATGTGCCTTCAAACAATACCAAACGTTGATTCAAGGTTTGGGGGTGAAATTGGATTGACAGAATTTTTTTCTTTTCGTCTACGTTTGTTTTAGCCCCAAATCACAAGTAATCGAGACCGAGCTTTTGAATCTACTGATCTTGTTCATTTTTTTCATCACGCTAGATGATAAGTTCTCACCAAGTAATTGTAACTAAGGTCCGTTCATAATACCTGCAGTATAACCTACAGATGAGATCTGTGAGTGTTGACCACAGACAAAAGGTCCTGATCAGGCGTCTGCAAAAGTAAACCGTCTCGCCGCCATAATGGGATATCCTCGGAAACGTATTGCCGGTCATTATCTAAACACCATTTTAGTTTATCGTTTTGTGTTTACGATATTTCTTTTTTCTTTCTGTTATCTTAATTTATTTCCCATTTTCTTTCGCAATTTTCAGTTGTCTTTATTTATTTTTATTCTTTTATATATATATCATTTTATTTCTTTATTTTCTTTTGTTTTTACGTTTATTTCTTTTTCTTTTCTTCCTCTTATCTTTCTTTCTTTTCTTCTTGCTTTCATTTTTCCTTTCTTTCTTCTTTGTTTCCATATTTGTAGTTTTTCTTCTGTCTACGTTGCATTGGATTTCTCTCTTTTGTTTTTATCGACATTTATTTTTTCTTTCTTTTCTCTCTTGCATTTGCCTTTCTTGTTGATCACTATGTTTCTTATTTTATTCAGTTTATATTTCAACGGATTGCATTCTTTTGTTTTTGTTTTCGTATGCTTCTTCTTTCTTTTCTTTCTTCTCTTCTTTATTTTCATCTCTTCTTCTTTTTCTTTGATTCTTCTTTTGTCCATTTTCTTTTCTTTCTTTCCTTTTTCATTTTTTCACTGTAACCATTTCAAATTTTCTTGTTACTTCCTTTTTGTCTTCCTTTTTTCATCATCTCTTTGTTTTTCTATTCGTTCAACATTATACTCAAGCATCAGGATCATGGCCGTCCTCATTGTGATTTATTTCCTTCTATACGAAATGGCATCTCGAATGACGGCATCAATCCATCATGGCTGTAGCATAAAACCTCTCAAGTAAAAAAAAAAAAGAAGAAAACAAAGGAAAACTTCAAATGGATTAGAAAACAAAATAAAATCATTGTTAAATATAAAGAAAAATCTTTATCCTTTTACTGCGTGATTTTTTTTTTCTATTCAATGTCAGTTTTAACGTATTCGTTCTCGCTTTTGGTCAGCTGACGAAAGGAAAATGCCATATTTTCTATTCAAAATAATAATAAAATTATTATTAATAATACGGATATGAATGCGAATCTTTTAACTATCAGTATTAGAGAATTTGGAATAATACCAAAATGCTTTTTAGAGATTTTAGAAGAACAGGAAATTGTAGAAACCATTTAAGAGACAAGATTAATAAAATTAATTTTTATACTCGGGATTGTATTAGAAAACTGGAACACTAGTAAGGAGCATCAGATACAACTGGTGTGAAAACTGGACACCCATAAAAATAAAATGAAAAACAATAACAATATGTTGCGTTGTGTCGTCTCTATATTTTCGTATTATGCCGTCAGGTCCTCCGTAGGAACCCCAGTGCTGCGTTACCCGTCCTGGGTATGACGATAAACTACATCCGCGTCCTGGGTAAGATGAAGAACTACGTCCGACAACAAAGCATGTGATCAGAAGGTTTTGAGGAGCGTGGAACCATCACTTAATAGCTGGTGTTCCCAGGTTCACCCTGACCCGAGGTGGTAGCACCTGTTAGGGTCTCAGCTTTGGGAAAATAGTTAACCTCCAAAATAGGGTTAAAACATTATGAAAGTGAAAAAATAAATTTTAACACCATCAATACATTTTTGTAAAAGCTTATCACCAGCAAATTTTTTTTGAAGAAAAAAATATTACCAGCAATATATTTTTGAAAAAAAAAAAAATTAATAGCAGGACATTTTTCAAGAAGAAATCAATTAGTAGCAATATATTTTTGAAGATAAAAAAATACTATAATAGGAACTATAACTCTAGATGGATACATATGAATCCTTGCATTCAGTTAATAGTAAAAGTAAACTCATCGTTGATAATGCCTAAAAGAATAACCGAAATCTCTCGGAGAGCACAATATTTATATAAATTAAGAAAAAATAAGAAACTTAACTGCAGTACCTTGTCAGTCGTTTTAAACGAAATTTGTATTAAAGAAGGATTGCTGCCAACGTATATATATATATATATATATATATATATATATATATATATAATTATTTAAAAATATGATTCCAAAACGCTACATAAGTGTTCTCATGTTTCAAAACAAGAGCCGAAAACATCAATATAATTATTTGAATTAAATTGAATTAAAGTACTAAGCTCTGTTCCATCTTCAATCATCGAAATTTTTTTTTTTTTTTTTGAATAACTTATTTCTGAAATTTACGCGTTTTTTATGTATATTCATTATTGAAAGCAAAATTTCTATGGTAACGGCTAGAGCAATTGTTTAAAGAAAAGGGGCGTGAGGTGTTAATAATTTGTATCAATATCTCAGTTACATTCACAGATGTCAAGTCAGGGTAAGGTTGGGCTGTCTAAATTTAAAGCGGAATATGACATCGTCAAGTCTGATTAATTGTCTATTGAGGTTTATTTATTTTTTATTTTATTTTTTATTTATTTCTGAAAGGGTTTTGTGTATATAAAAATTGTCGTAAATCGCTAACATTTGTTTTTTGACGACTTCATAAAGGGTTATCTTTTATTTGCAAGGCATTTAAACTATTTATTAGGAGTATGGATTTAAAAAAAATTTTGTTTGTTTGTTTTTATGCTAATTATTCAATGAAAAAATCTGATGATGTCGGCAAAAAGCCGTTAACTCATGTCTATTGTTTAATAGATTTTTATTATTTAGAAACTTATATATATATATATATATATATATATATATATATATATATATATATATATATTTTATTTTATCTTAATTTCACAAATTTAAGGATCAATTTCTTAATGTTGTTATTAAACTGATTAAGAAAGAGACTGTAGTTTTGGATATCTTTTATTTTCCCAAGTACTTTCAATTTAATCCAAGATTATATTCAAGAGGAATTGCTAAGACAAAATTGAATGTAATCAATAGAATTGATTATTTGGTAAATGCGCATGAAACGAACAATAGTCAATTTAAAAAAAAATGCACTTAAGAATATATAAGGGAGGTAACTTAGTTTAAATTAAAAAAAACAACTTGAAGTGTTAAAATATACTACGTTTTATTTTATAGACATTTTAAAATAACGTTGTTATACTGATAATTAATTGTATTTAATATTGTTTTCATTTGTATATAGACCACTTCGAGTTGAATTTGAGATTAAGAAACAGATATAATATGTCTAAATTACTAATGCAAACTTTCTTGAATATATATATATATATATATATATATATATATATATATATATATATATATATATATAGGGAGATATTTGGAATACGAAACTTGTTAGGTGACAAATCAATAGAAATTTAAAAGAGAATACAGTAAAACATATTTGTGAATTCCTTATTCCGACTGCACATATGAACTTCAATTTTGTTTCTATCTGAGTTTATAGGATGAGTAGTTATCATTATATAGGGTATATAGGGGACAAAGACACTAATTGTGGGTTCAATCCCTCTGTTGGGTATCATAAATTCGGAATATAAATAACAAACCAACAATAAAAAAAAAAGACGAGACATAGATCGACAGATACTGGGGAGAAAAAATGATCGAGACGTTGTGATAATAACAATAAAATGAGGACAGTTGTTCAAATGTAAAGGATTTCTTTTTGTGTAATATTCTGATAAAACATGGACAGGGGACAAAGATTGTAAGGCAAAAGCTGGAGAACGAGATGATACATAAAAGAGACGATAAAATATCAAAGATATCTGATAAAAGTGATCTTCGATGTAATAACTTGTAAAAATGATTCCCGTTTAGTTATTAAGCATAAGAATCTGTAATAATACTGATCTTGGCCTTTGAGGAGAAAGATAACAAAATCTGTAACTTTGATATTTAAACAAACCACAGAATACAGATCAGAAGACAGGACATCTTTATAGTATCCTTAGAATTACTTGATTATGCCTTTCTGGTAGGCAGTAGAATAGATTTGCAAGAAAAAAATAAGAAAGATAAATATTCGAAACTGAATATAAATTTGACAGTCGTCCATTAACGACTCGGTGGCATCAGTATGCGGTTTTTGACATATATTTCAAGATCAGGACTTGATGGAAAGATGTAGAATATTTCAGAAGACGGAATAAGTGAACAGAACTTGAATGCTGAAATGAGTTTTTAGGTTGATTGTTTTTTTACGGTTTATCTACCTTCTGTGGTTATTTAAAGCCAAATGTTATTTTCATATTGCAGGAATATTTTTTTTTACATAATAATGCTTTACTGATACAAGTTTTACTAATTAAGCCATAGCCGGGGGAAAAGAGATAGATTCATACCTTTTGTAGGGGTAATTGCTCGTAAGTGAGCATAACAAACCTGAATGGTATTCGAACTTGGCTCTCTGATTTCCCATTCAGAACCATTAACCATTACATAAAACCTCACATCCAAGTTTACAGCACCTGATATTCCCAAGCGATCATCCATCTACACTGGCGAAAATAAGTTTGACCGACCGTTAAATTTTTATTCACTTTAGAATATGTTTCTATCAAAACAATATAAATTAATTTTATTGTGTATATTTTATGTAGAATTTTGTTTCTCTTTCAAATGATGTAAAAATTTTCTCATGACTTGAAAAATGTTAATGTTGGATTAATTTAAATTATCCAAATTTGCCGGCAAAATAAGCCGTTTTGCTGCACTTTATTTTTCTTGCTTATGTTTATAAAGGAAACTTTTTGTTGATGAAGTAACAATATTTTGTATCTAGTCACCGAACTAAGACTACGACGCTTTCCCATAGTGAATTAATTGTATAACAACTCTCAGTTATTACACTATATAATACGTTAATGGCCAGCCACGTGACCACTCATTTAGAAAATAATTTGCATCAAACACATGCGGTCTTAAACTTATTTTGCTGGCAAATCTGAATAATTTAAACTAATCCAGCATTAAAAATTTTCAAGTTGTAGAAAAATATATAATTTTTACATCATTCGAAATTGAAATAAATTCTGCCTAAAGTGTATACAATAAAACTAATTTATATTGTTTTATTAGAAACATATTCTGAAATGAATAAAACTAACTATCGGTCTTATTTTCGCCAGTATGGATTCTGATCTAGGTCGATATTGTTTAAATTCGGTGAATGTGTGGGGAACCGGTATTTCCACGTGATATGGCCGTATGCTATGAGTTTTAAGAAAACTTTTAATTTCCGGTTTAATCCACCTGTAACTATTACTGTGAATAATAATAATAATAATAATAATAATAATAATAATAATAATAATAATAATAATCCTATGGCGACGAGTTTCAAGACATCATTCACTTTGTCTTGACACTGATAAATGTTTTATACTGCCGCCAGATTAAGTGCTGCCGATACGAATGACAAATGCATTGGCCGGCTTACACCACTCAGTTGCTCGGCATTTCAATAAGAAGCTTCCACGCTTGCTTTTATACCCGATCGGATCTTTTAACTCACCAGGATTTCGAAGGATCAAGGATCGATACAGATTTCATCTCTTCACACGCAGGTTTTCGTTTTAGTAACGTCTTTACCGAGAGACGACTTGAAAATTTGGGACAAACTTCCTAGCGCTTCTCACTCGAACTAAAAGAAAAAGGACACCAAAATGTATTCCGAGGCCAGTGGTTAGTGTTCGAGCTCAGAGCAAATTAAAAGATTTTTTAATGATTATTTCATGCCTTACACGTCATCTGCGCTTAAAAGACGTAACAGGATATCTTACCCCGATATTTACACACATTTTATCTCATACAGTACAAAAATGAGTGAACACAGGGTAAAACACAGGTTGTGTTACAAACAAAGCATCCATAATATTACGAGCTAAGAA